AATTTTTATTATAAAATAAAATTGTGGTAAATTATTTTAACTAATAGAAACAAAAGAAGAAACAAAAGAATAGACCGAACTGAAACAGTAATAAAATTTCGAATGCATGCCAACCTAGCCAGAGCTTAACCAACGGTACTGTTTACTGTTTTTTATCATATGGCAATGCCATGACATTCATAATTGAGTGAGTGGCGTTTGTTATGTATCTTCATGCAAATATCCTCTCGACTTTCTCATTGACTTGCCCACTTATTTAAGTTCGTGCTTGGAACGCGATTGTTTTAGAAAAAGAGTGGCAGCACGTTTCTTAGTGAGATTACGACCGTTCATACTCATTCATAGTTTAATAGCATTTGTTATGCTTCTTCTTGGAAATATCCTCTTGACTCTCTTATTGACTTGCCTATAACTTTAAATTCTTTTTTGGTGTAAATGAAAAATTTTATAAATAGAATTTTATAAATAGATTAATGAAATTTTATAAATATTAATTTAATACACAAAATAATCATTTTGTTACATTGTAAGAGTATCAAGAAGCACAAGAAATATAGACAAAATAAATTAGTTTTTTAATTGACTAAATAAAAAAAAAAGTACAATTCAGTATGCACTAATTATAGAACAACATTATAATGTATATGTACGGCCATCTCTTTTGTTCTACTGGTGCATGCTTTGCAAAACGTAGTCCCTGCAATAATGGATCTATTGTGATCAAACTTGATCTGTATATCCCCATACCGTACTTTGCTTTTCGTTTTTTTCTTTAAGAGCGATATTGGATTTAGGTAATTAAACTTTATATTTCTGTCCCCACACTGCACTCTGCCTTTCGTGTTTTCTTTGAGTCATGCTTTCGGGATTTTTGTTCTCTGCTTTTGCAACAGATTGGATGAAGTTGAAAGGCTTTTCCATTGTGAAAATGAATTGGGGCTATGACAAATTAAGTCATGGGGGAAAGAGAGAGGAGTCCAAGGCAAAAAGAAAAAACTTTGAGCTGTGAGATATACAGCTGGCAACGCAAAAGGAGGTGGATGAAAAAGAACAAAAAAAGAAGCAAAAACTTAGAAAATATAATTCATTAAAAAATAAGTGGACTAAAAAAATAGAGTTTCCTTTCATAAATATCTTAGCATATTACATTTTTTTTAATTATTTAAGGGTGGAGGGAAAAACTGTTTGATAGGGGGCACAGCTCTCCATCAATAATTAAAATTAGTTTTTTAGTTGACAATAAGTAAAAAAAAATTTCTATCACATATAGTAAGGGTGTAAAATAAGAATATAATAAATATATATTTTATAGTTAATATTTATTAAAAATGTAAATATTGATTTGGATTTACTCAATTAATCAATTGAATTTATAAATTTATAATAT